GGTTGGTGCACATAAGCACACGCGCATGAACACACATACAGACTGGTCAACGAAACGATCTTTATGATCATGTGAGGCTGCTTTGTTGCCCCCTGTTGAGTACGACTAGCCAACACTATAGACGCAGGTTGCTTGATTAACGATATAACTGGGCTGGCAAATGGGTTGACCTGTTTGACTGAAGCACGAACTAGGTTTTTGTGGCAAAGCATTTGGCATGGTAGGACTGCGACATTGCGCTTGAGAGCCCGCAACTAGTACAATGGCCGGGCCTTTACGATCAAGGCGATTTGGATAACTTAGAACACAGCACGGTCTCTTGCTAACCCAGTTTCTCCTTCATTTGGAGTGACTCTGTTGCACTGTTTAATTCTAACCATGTTACTGAGACGATAAACCGCTCATAGTCTACGATAGGTTAAGATAAATGTCATCGGAGGGGTCCCCACAATGAGAATGGCTGAAAATTGTATTGTGATTTTGGAGACGTCTCTTTGTGACATATCCCTAAGATTCTTCATAAATGCTTACTTGTCGAAGTTTCAGTCCCAGGCAAGAAAGTTGCCAATCAAGAATGAGGCAAACATTGATTGAATATTGTGCTTATTCCACATGAAGACCCCATGAAATACCCGACATGAATTTAAAATCACTTTTAAAGTCATAGCTAGCTTGCTCATTGAACTTTTAGGATCAAGATAATGTAGTCAGGTTGTGGTATGATGGAGATGAGAAAATGTTAATTAATTAGTCTGCTCGTCCATTATTTAATTAGTTGGCTCGTTAGTTAGTTAGTCAGTTTGTTTGTTTGTTTGTAATTTTTTAAGGACTCTACGTACATTGCGATTGCTCCATTCGGTGGAATGAACTTAGAAGATTGTGTGAGTGAAACTCATAAGCGACAATCAAATGGCCTACTCAGATTGTACAGGGGACCCATCGAAAATAGTACTATGGTGGAATATATATTGCGGTGAAATTAGTGACCAGCATTGAAAACGTCTCTCAAAATCCAAATGATTTTTGGTCGACACCAACACAGTGGATCGGAATGTAGATTAAGGCACCTTGCGGATTCCGCAGATGCGTCGACAGGCTTAGTCGCACGATGAACTAGGGAATCTATGATATCCCATGCGTACCTGTTTGGTACGCAGTGCTGACGAGTCGTAAACAGCACGAACGAGTTTTCCCGGGCTCATTCCATCGCATTTACCTGTTATATTTTTGAAAATGCTGTCAAAGTGAACGAGTAGGTAACTATTAGTCAACCAACTTCATTAAATCGTCAGGTTTGGAAAAGGCAGCTTTGAAGATCTAATATTTTACCTTAATTTGCTTCAAAATTGTTTTGTATTCCTGCTTCTTATTCTTCTCTCTGGAAGTAAAACTGAATTTGTTGTCGTCAGCAAGAATAACACTCAATTTATCGTCATATCCATACCAGACCGACGCCACCCATCCTGCTCCTTTTACTTATCTTGATAGATTAACATTCCGAATTTTGGCCCATTCTTCAACGGTATTTCTATGCCACATCATCAACTTTGAATGGAAGAAAAATGGTGATTTCCCATCTATACCTTTTCAATTTCAAATGAATCCAACCAATCGCACTCCATTAAAAACCCCACAAGGTAATTGGTGTTTCGGCCGTCAAATGTCACCGATTGGACCGGGTGTGTCTAAACCCCGTCCAGGCCGAATGACCTAATTCTCCGTAAACAAACGAAAGCACTTTTTGAGTGAGTTACCGAGCAAGGATAAATGTTTCGGTGAGGTAAGGTGGACCGTTCCCCCCCACACACACACACTCCTACACACCCATTCCACTCGGGAACGTTCGTGAGCGTTGATCGAGTGTGCGTCATAGATACGAATGAACTAACCCGGAGTCAACTGACCTCTGTCGGTCCGGTAAGGAAGCGAATCACACCAAGATGGATCGATAAGTCGGTCACCATGCCCAGACGTGAATTTGAGCATGATTAATTACATGAGTGGAGTCAATCTAAACCCTCAATAACCCAGTGAGTAAATTCCATTGAGGCCGAGTTTCTCTCGAATAAAACCGATTCCTTTGAATCAAATGCGATTGCTCACGTATTTCTGACATTGAACTGCACAACTGACGAGATACTTAGCATGTGTAAGATGATGGGTGTGTGTACTGCAGTTAGTTTCTCTCCTCGAATCATTCACCACTGGGACCAAGTGGACTGCTCATTTATCCGAAATGAAAATAGATCCAAATTTTGGTGATTACTTTGACTAAACTGGGATAAACTTCAGTGGTTGATAGTTGTTACTATTTTCACCCCTATGAAATGCAAAATGTTGACCTGCCCAATCTAGTTTGCCGGTTTTGCATGATCGTTTGGTATTACCAAAGCTTGAACTGCCTACCTTGATTTGCCTTTAATCAGCCTTTAATCAAACACTGCCTACCGAGGGCCTACTTCTGTATGAAATTATCCAAAAACATAAAATGGAAAACCAGCCTACTGTAATTATTGTGCTCAAAA